CCACTGAGCCCCTGCCAAGGCACCTGGGACCCCAGAGATGGCAACGTGCCACCCCCACCGCCCCTCACCTGACCCCAGCACTCCTGGGGGGCTTCCCAGGGGGCTCCCCCATCCCCAAACACGGCAGCAGGGTCTGGGATTCCCATGCCCCGTCCCTGCTCTCCCCAGCCTGCAAGTGGTTTTCCCCACCCGTGCCTCAGTTTGCCAGGAGAAGCTGCCCTGGGCCAGGGTTTGCCGCGTGGCCGGCAGCGCCGCGAGGCTGCTGGCCCGGGAGCAGCGTGACAAGCTCCGTCGTGCTGGCTGCAACACCCGCCCTGCTCGGCGCCCGCGGCACCCGCTCCTGTGCCTGCATTTCGGGGGGGAGGCCGGTGGGGCGATGCTCCCCATGGCTCCACCGCCTGGAAACAAAGCAAAGCACCCCTGGGACCGGGACCGAGGGGCCCCGCTGGGACAGATCCCGGTGCTGGGCCCTGAGCCGGGTCCCCCTCCTGCCCGCGGGGATTTTCCCTGAGCTGTGCCATGCTCCCTCCACGGGGCCACGTGCGTGGGAGGGTGGCGGAAAAAGAGCATTTTCCAGAGCTGGAAACCCAGAGGAAAAAGGCTGCCGGCCGGAACGATTACCATGGGTGGGTTAATCATTACAGCAACCCCCCCACACCCGAAGGAAGCCGCGAGGATTCGGCCTTCGAGCCGCCCAAGGGCAGCGTGGCCCAAGGACACGCCGGGCTGTGCTGGCAGCGTGTGGAGCCTCCACTGACCTTCCCATGCCGGGGCCATGGGCAGCACCCACAGGCAGGGGGAGGGAGGGGGCCGGATCTGCACCTGGGCACTGCACGGCCTCGGCAGGGACAGGCAAGGAGCTGCCCTGGGGGTCCCACACTGCTGGAGGGCTGTGTGGGGGCTGCTGCCAATTCCTGCAGCCCCCCGGCAATGTGAGGGGTGGGGGTAGCCCCTGAGCCCCCACCCTGATGTTGCAGACTGGGCGCTGAGGGCACGAGGCAGCAGCAGGGTCGGGCAGGATCCCAAGTGGGGCCAGGCAGGATCCCAAGAGCCGAGGTTTGGGCAGGGAAAGGGGCGGCTCTGCGGGATGAGTCAGCCCGGCGGGAGCGGGGCGTCCTGGGGCTGCGGTGGGGTTTGGGGTTGTTTTTCCTGCAGAGAGAGGAGAGCTGGAACCTTTCGCCTGCATTCGGGACTGGGTGGGACGGGGAAATGCCACGCGGCCGAGCGCAGGGAGGGCCCTCAGCACCGGGAGATTTGGCCCGGCAGAGCCCGGCCCGTCTCGGAAATCATCCCCCGGAGAAGCGACGCCGCCGGCAGAATCCGTGAAGTGATGCTTCACTTTCCGAGCGCTCCCGGCCCCGCTCCCCACCCTCCATCTGGCAGCAGAGCAGAGTCACGGGCGAGAGCCCTGG